AATCAGTCTGCCCACACGCTCAGCTCACCGGTTCTGTCTCCGCACACCTGGTCTCGTTACGTCTCGGTTGGTCGAATCAACAAACCTTGCGGCGGCACAGCGGTGCAAAAATAGGCATCTGCAGGAACGGGCAGCCCCTAGTCGCTAGTAGATATCCTGTAACCACGTGCTGATCGCGGTTATCTGCACAGCCTTACACCTAATGTCAAATGCCATCATACTTGTGCGCAATGTCTACTTCGAGATCTAATGTGATGTAGCCAAGACGACGTGGCAACAAAGCATGCCGATGTCCGTTGTGGTGCGGCGTGTCAGCCAGGCGTTCAACGCAAGGCTTTGCATAATATGAGAATAGTATAGATTTTGGCCCCCAAGTTCACGACTGCGTCAAACCGCTTCGGGAAATTACAGCCTTGGCTCGCTATTCCCTGGCACGCTACTTGCACCCTTCATCGCCAACGCCCTTCGCCCCATCACCAATGCGGGCAGCTGAGGCTGAAGCGCCTCCAAGTCTTGCATACAGTCATGCTACGTGTACGAGATTCGGACCGCTCATTGGCCTCGTCAAGCAGCTAAGAGCCTTACGCGGGGTGAACGGCGAGTGATCATCACGCGAAATGAAGGCTGTGCTTGCGATACCCGGTTTGAGCCCCCTTGGCCGTGGACCCAAGCGATGATGGAACGCCTAAAGGCTTCGATAAAAGCCACGTCCAATCTCACATGTTGTGGTAAACGCCGCTGCACAACACCCAACTCTTTTGCTGCATTCACACCACCGAAACACGAAACAGTATTCCACCGGCTTCAACGAAATAAACCTTCACAATGGAGAAGCAAAACGGTTAGTAATTACCCTCCGACTGTTGTGTATGAGTTCTACGCGATTCAATGCGACTTAAGAACTACGCCGTCATGAAGCGCATAGTCCTTTGAATGACTACGCCGCCTAGCCTTCAATTTCCCTATCTCAAATACCATGACTATCTTGCTAACAGTCTTAAAGTGCCCATGCAGCAATACCCTCAATCGCCAGACGCGACCGGTCAACCACCCATCTACCACCAAGATCCCAACGCACAATACCAGCAGCAACCAGCCATGTACACACAACAGCCTCAAGATCACCCTACTGGCTCGCCAGCGCCTCAGCATCCACAAGGCGCATACGTGCAACCTGACCACGCTGGCGCCCAGCCTGGCATGCCTCCCCAACAACAAAGCGGAGCCGTCTACCAGAACGCCACGCCAATCGCGAACCTGAACCGTGGACCTGCGCCTACAGATTGCCCTGCATGCGGACAGCGTGCCATGACCAACGTTGCTTTCGAGACGGGAAACTCGACGCACGCCTGGGCTCTCGGTCTTTGCTGCCTCTGCTGCTTGGGATGCATTCCTTATGTGATGAACTCACTCAAGGACGTCCAGCACAAGTGCGGTCGCTGTGGCGTGCTTCTTGCGACTTGGCACCGTAGCGGAAGCACCGAGGTCCACATCCACTCTTAGATTGAGTTGTAATTGTGCTGAGAGTTGAATGCACATAGAGAGGGGAAGGAGGTGCGCGATGGTTTGAAGCGGATGATACCCAGGGGAAGAACAGGGCGTTGAAGCAATCGGGTGCAGGGTGGGTCAACCAGCCCTGATTTTGTCTGTTATCATAAGGAGTTTTGCGCAACAAGTTTCTTTGTAGTACCCGTTTTGATCGAATCTGAATGAGAACATGCAGTCTCTACCTGACTTTTGTTGATCGTGACGACGCGTATTCGAGTGAAGCCAACGATCCGACGCGCTCAACCGAGAGATACTCGTTCAAGAACAGTAGTCTTTGGAAGTTGCACCCGGCAAAGGTAACTTTGCTGTATGGTGCATAATTTAACTTCTGTGCTGGTGAGACGACGTGTCGTGAGCAGGATGCTCACCCCATCGAAATGTGTGTATCGCTCCGAGATGCATACATCTGACGTCACCAACGGTCATCGCGCATCGACGCACATGGGAAACCAGAACATGCAGGCTGCGCAACACCATCGGCCCAGCGCCACACATCGTGAAGAATCGAAAGCAGATCCGGCACCAAAATGCCGCGAAAGCCACTTTCCTGACATCACCGCCACCAGATCAGCCACACAAAGCCACCGCTAGCGAAACCAAGCTTTGGCTACATGCACCAAGCTTTTGGCAGGTTCCAAGATTCCTTGTGTCAGACCGCTTAATCGCGTTAAGATCGCCATACCCTCCACATCACCATGCCGCCAGCCGTCCAGATCGAGAGTAACAGCAGGGTTAGCAACCGGTTTGTGGCTGGTAATTTACCAACGCAGTGGCAGAGATGCGAAAATGATGTCGTTTGACAGAGTGCGTGGCCGTGTGACGCTTTGTAGTGTGGAAATTGGCTTTGGGATATAAGACTCGCATTACAAGTCTTTCTGTCGAGTTCCCACAAGGCCAATCCATCTTCTTCTCTCCCCTTGACTGTTCAGTCGGTCCGCTAAGTGCAAGTGCTGTTGGCTTTGCTGGCGCGCTACGTCGTTTGTTGCGTGACCCCTTCCGGAACAAACAATCACAACAAAGACAACAATACGTCATCAGCACGCGGTATAGATACCTCGAATCCAGCACTTCAACGGATCAACAACGAACCCACTTCCAACAAAATGGGGTTCTTCAACAAGCGCAACACGACGCCCGTCGCCGCAGACACCACAACGGCAACCGGTGCTCACGAGAAGCGCGCCAGGCCTAGACGTGCTTCCAAGGGCGGCTCGTCCTCCTACAACAGCAGGCCTGGCTTCGGATCATGGATCAAGGCTACCTGGCTCGACATCCTTACCATGGCCCTCATGGGCGCTGTCGGTCTCGGTGTATACTTCGCTGATCCAGCCCCGAGCCGCAGCTTCCCCATCATCTTCCAAGATGGAGAGATTGTCTACCCGCAATTTGCTTACCCTATGCGCAACGAAATTGTTCCCATTTGGGCTGCCGCGCTCATGGCGTTCTTCATCCCCTTTGCCGTGTTCCTGATCGTGCAGATCCGCGCTCGCAGCTTCTGGGACCTGAACAATGCTACCATCGGACTTCTCTACGCTTTGATCACCGCAGCTGTTTTCCAGGTCTTCATCAAGTGGCTCATTGGAGGTCTTCGTCCTCACTTCCTCGCCGTCTGCAAGCCTGTCATCCCTGCCGACATCCTTGACACTGTCGGTGCCAACGACAACGGTGTCGAAGCCGGTAGCGCATATGGCAACGTCGCAAATGGGTACCGTCAGATCATGTTCGACCGTAGCATCTGCACAGGTGACAGGAAAGAGATCAACGACAGTCTTGAGTCTATGCCTTCCGGTCACACCACAGCTGCGTTCGCTGGTTTCGTTTACCTGTACCTGTACCTCAACGCCAAGTTAAAGGTCTTTTCCAACCACCACCCAGCTATGTGGAAGCTCATCGCTCTCTACGCACCTATTCTCGGAGCTTGCTTGATCGGAGGTGCTCTTACTATCGACGAGTACCACAACTGGGTAAGTTTTGAAGATTTTCACTTTGTATCAGAACAATTACTAACAAATTTTTAGTATGATATCCTCGCCGGAGCGATTATCGGCACTCTGATGGCTTTCAGCGCCTACCGCATGACCTATGCTTCCGTCTGGGACTTCCGTTTCAACCACATCCCTCTCATGCGCCACGCTCCTTTCGTCTACGGCGCCGGTCCAAGCTCTTTCGATGGCTTCCACGACACTGTCTTCACCCGCAAGGCTGGATGGGGTACGATTGAGGGAACCAGCTGGGGCGGTGCACCCTTCGATGCCGCAGATGGTCCTAGGGGAACCATGATGCCGCATCCTGACGGGCCTGCTCACGGTCACCACGGCAGCGCCTCGAGCCGCGTGCAGAGGAAGCCTGTCGGTGCTGACAGGCACGGCGAGCAGATGGTCTGAGCAGGTTAGACTAACGATCTTCTGGGCTATATCAGCTTGTGAGGATGAGGCTGCACACCTGCCTCGTGGTGTGAATGAGATGAAATTGAGGAAGGATGGGTTGTGCATTTACTGGGTCGCCTTCGTCGGCGACATTTGATGATCATGATAGCGAGGCGTTATTGAGCACAGGAGATACCATGACATTCAACCTAGGAATATAGTCTAATAACATTCTGCATGACATGAGTTGTTGGCCGGTTGCTGTGCTGTGAAGCTTTGGCCCTATCGGAATCTCTCGGAATTACCCTCATTCCGAGCCTCTGCGCGCACGCGTCCATCACACGAAGATTGCGCGACGGCCGTCCGGCAAGCGACGCTGATCCATGTACCTTTTTCCAAGACATCTATTGCAAAATGGTTCTTGGAGTACCTGAGCGGCCCCGTCATGGTGTCAGAGATGAGTATGCTATACGTACCAGCCCTGGTGCTTACTGACATATAACCCTGTGAGCGTCCTTGCTTTACTCCCAGACACCATGCGACATCACCCACAGACGTCCCATAGCCGCATGAAGGTCGCGTCGAAAAGCTCGAAATCGCTCCAACTAACACGCGACTCCAGACTTAATCCTCAAAACCGCACGCTCCCATCTCAACACCCCCCTCCCTGGCAGCGCCAACTACCCACTTCCTCCTCCGCCTCGTCTCCTCCAGTTCCCGCGTCACCAACCGCTAGACCTCTGACCTATAGCTTCCGCAGCTTCCTCCTCCTTCTCGCCGCTTCGAAAACAGACCTGCGCAGCCGTCACACGCGAAGTGGCTACCACATGATACTACCAGATAAAGCTGGCTTACACAAACATGGATCACATTCATACGAAGTACATGGGCTTGATGTGAATAGGGGGACAAGTAGGTTGGCTGAATCAATTTCATTGCGAAAGGTCTATATACACCGGGACAAAGAATCAAGGTCCAAAACCATACTGGGAACAAACCGAACGCCGTCGAAGATGGAGAAAGAGACCGACCAGACGCCTAGTGCTGTTGAACACCTGTTACAACTAAAAGGGAAATACAATGGGTTCAGAGCGTTTCCAGCTGTCTCCTCAGCTCGTTTATCAGCTCTTCGCCATCGTGAAGGCTCAGCATCGCGGTTGGTGCGAAGACGCCCACATCTAAGGCGCCATTGCGGATGGTCGCCTCGATATCGATAGCATGCTACATATCTGTTAGTTCCTGCTCGTCTCAATACCGCGTAAAGGCATACTTACCAAATATGCGCCATTGACACGCTCGTCCACCAGTTCAGCAGGTGGTTCCAAGCTGTGCTCCTCCACTTCGGTCACCCTACTGACCGACTGCTCCCATTGTTGAGTCGGTTCGATAGTGATTGAGTCCTTATTCTGGGCCTCTCCCTCCGCCTCTGGAGTATCCGGCAGAGATAGGAAGTTTACGAAAGTGTCAACCTTGACACCTGTCCATTCGCTGATCTCGAAGAGGCTAGCAGAAGCGTTCATGGGCTCACTGATTTCTTGCAGGTCGCGTTGGATATCCTCAGCCATCTCTACCATCTGGCGTTTGAGCGGCTTACTGACACGTAGTGGTAGTAGATTGACTGTTGGTACAGCAGCCGAGGCAATGCCATTGATAGGCAGCGAGCGATTGGCCAAGTAGACACCAATGATCACGTCTTCATCTGCAGTGCCCGATGTGCTCGCAGCATGAACCTTTGCGTACGCAGCGAGGAAGATGGACTGCGTTGAAACACCACGTTGGCGCGCAGCTGCCTCCAGGTTGGGCGTTGCGAACAAGGCTGGCTTGAAGAGCTGTGTCCTCGTTTTGGGGCTCTCAGCAGGCTGCATCAAGAGCTTCTGGGCAAAGTCCACGAGATACCGAGTCCAGAAGCTCTTCTTCTTCTCTAATTCCGATGTCCCGTACCCTTTAGCGACCATCTGGGCAAGTGTATTGTCTGGCGGATCGACTTCAGCGCCGTTGCAAATGGCTTGCAATTTCTGCATCAAAAGAGGTAAGCTGACACCATCGTACAATGCATGGTGGATCTTCAGCTTCAACGCCCAGCCGCTGGAAGTTTGTGAGGCGAAGAGGTAGGCCCAAGGCTGCATGGTCGTTGTAGTCTGGACGCGCTGGCGGATTTCGTCATGTGTGCAGCCAGTGATATCTGTGACAGAGCTCTCCAGATCTTTCAACACGACTGCTACGTAGGGTATCTGATGATCGCCAGTCGTGACGAAGGAGGACCGCAGAATCGGACTTGTCGCAACCAGGGCGTGCCACGAATTGTTGAGGTCGTTGAGACCAATACCTCCATAGATAGCGTATGTGAACTCGGCGTAGAAGTTGCTGCCTTTGTTATTTAGCCACATCGACAGCATGTATAGCTGTCCGGCGGTGACTGGTAGAATTTCTGTGACACTTGCATCGTCGATATGAGCCCGGTCTAGGATGTGCGATCTATCGAGATCTTTGAGAGCCTCCCGGACCACTTCATGAGGATTGGCACTGGTTTCCAGCTGCTGTGTGGTGCGCGAATCCACAAGACTTGCCATCTGTTCAATCGTACCAGCTCGGAGCATCTCACCAACGCCGAGGATGATGCCCTGTTTGCGCAGAAGAGAAGAGACCTTGATCGCGCTGATAGAGTCCAGCCCCATGTGAAATATTGTCATGCCGCTCGTCATCTCATCTTCGGGTGTCTTCGACACAAAGGCCAGAGACTCGCGTATCTTGATGGCTGTTTCGGTGCTTGGTGGATCCCTAGCGTCTTCGTCGTCAACTACCTCATGGCTGCTTGTCGCACGACTTTGTCTCTGCTTGAAAGCCGGCATACCGCATACTGATGTGCCATTCGTAGTGACCTCAATTACAGATGTCTCTGGATGTTCCATCAAGTGCCTAAGCACGTCATCCATTCGATCGAGGAGCTGTTTTGAAGCCTCTTCGTCGAATACTTCCTCTTTCACCGCACAACGCCAAACCAAGCTCTTGTCCATTGCCTCCATTTCTACACACACCGGATACTCAACGTCACTATGACCCTCGATGCTGGTGTACAGCCTCTGTCCCTCCTCTTCCTCTGACGCGAAGCCCTTCTGGTAGATGAATAGACTTTCGAACAGTCTTCCATCAACACCTGCTGCCGATAGGGCCTTCCGAAGTGGGTAGTGTTGCCACTGCTTGATGTTTGTGAAGTTGTCTTGCATGTAATGCAGCATGTCTCCTCCAGATCCGTGCAGGACTGACCGTATCGCGATCGTGTTCATAGTGGGAAACATTAGTTGAGATCGCTCCTCATCGTCTCTTCCGGATAGTACAGAGCCGAAGGTGACATCCAGACTGTTGGTGTAGAGAGAAGTAACGAGAGCAAAGACGGTTTGGCCGATAGTCTGTAATGACACATTACGCCTTCTCGCGAACGTCTGGAGCTCATCCAGTACCACTGCGCTGTTTCGTTCGTGGCGATGAACATGACTGCCACTTTCGCTAGAGATGTTTGTTCGTCGGGGAAAAGAGCTTGTAATGGCTCCAGAGAGATAATCTTGCCAAAAGCCTGCGGAAGCAGATACGGACGTTGTGACGATGTTGATCAGAGAAGCCTCGTAGCTTGGTCGAGAGGTGAATTGATTGTTATAAGCTCGTTGCACATCGGAATGCAGTAATCCAAGAGACCATCCATCGTATAGAGCATGAGCAATGGAGATAATAAGGTAACGCTGGCCAGATGTCTCCACGAAGCCAAGGTGGAAGCGGGGTGTCGAAAGCGAATTCTGTAGGGAATCATGTCGAAGTTTACGGAAGATTGAGGCAAATTCGGGCCTGCCCTCTGATTCGACATGCGTCCAGAAGTCATGATGTTGTTTGTGGACGACCTGTACGAAAGAATCGTCGAGTTCCGGGTCATCTACCTCTACGAAGCCAGTCCGTAGGATTGGTGACGCAGCGACGACTGTTGTCCAGGCCTCTTGGAGCTTTTTGACGTCTGTATTGGGATCCAGTTCGAGTACATCATGGTTGTAGTATCTTGTGTAGTCTGACGCAATCATCTCAGCCACCATAGCTTCTTGCAAGGGTGTCAAGGGTAGAACTTTCTCAACATCGGTGTTGTTGAACGCATGCTGTTCGAGATGCCTCTTCATTGATCTTTTGTAGGCGTCAAGGTTTGGCTGAAGAGACGCTTCAGTTGACGTTTCCGTGGGCGAGATGAGTTGTACCATTTTCGCAATGGTCAGCCCGCGCATGATGCCGCTTACGGGAATGTTCACTCCGCGCTTCTTGAGCTTGGATGATAACTTGATGGCGTCAATACTGTCGAGTCCAAGTTCAAAGATGGAGGTGTTTTCGTTGATGCTCGAATATTCAAGACCCGATAGTTGAGCAGTCTCCTCTTTGATCTTGATGGCATCGCTCGTCCATTCAAAATCGCTCGTCTTGTCGCCGTTGCTGATCTTTCCATTTGCGGATAGTATACCGTTCTGCATCGCTCCATCTTCAAAGGTTACCGCAGGAATAGTAGACGGATCTACTAAGACCTGTCGCAATGCTTCTTCGAACCGATCAAGAAGCTCATTCGCCAAACACTCATGTGCGACATGATCTTGACTAACCAATGTCAACTTGAACACATCACCCCTCCGTTGCTCAACCTCGAGAGCCAGTGGGTAGTCAGCAACAGTTTCAGTGTCTAGGATCTCCCAAGCATCGTTTTTTGCCCATCCGTCACCTCCCTGTGCGATTTGGTACGCGAAGAGATTTTCGAAGAGAGGCTGGCTCGGAGTTCTTTTGCACCACTTCATGATTTGTCTCAGTGGAGTGTGCTGATGAGGATGAGCTCCGACGTTAAAATCGTGCACTCGTTTGATTGCCGATGACCAAGATTCGCCACGCTGAGCGCAATGCTGATAGGGGATGGTGTTGAACATTGGCCCTATGATGCGATCTGCACCTTCAAGATCGATACTGCGTCCAGAGACGACCATTCCAGCCGTTACGCCTCCTTGGACGTGCTCGCAAAGTACGCTGAGCCAGCAAGCCTGGGCAATAGCTTGTGATGTAACATTAAGTTGGCGTCGCACAGAGTCAAAGCCGGTCAACCCAGGCAGTGTACGTGTAATAACTACTGCTTCTTGACTAGCCTCGCCGGAAATGGTGGGTAAATGAAGGGTTTGCTTATCTAGATGGTTCTGCCAAAACTCCTTCGCCCCGTTAGGGATGCTGAGCGGACCATGAGCAAGTGCAGTATGGAAGGCAGGTGCGTGCAATTGTAGATCCCTATTGTTGTAGACGTCCCAGACGGCCCGGAAGATGAGCTCGATGCTGTTGCCATCGTAGAGTCCATGGAAGATATGAACAGACAGCAGCTTCTGCGTTGGTGTGGTGATGAGATGTATCTCGAAAGGGCGGGTAAAGTCAGGTTGATTGAGCCCTAGCCAGCGTTGTCTCAACAATTCCAAGCTTTTGGCAAGGTGGTGTTCTTTGGCTGGAGTGTGTATCATTCCAGTGTAGGCAGGAGCACGGAGAACTGCCTGCACGTGACCTTCCTCTGTGTTGACAAAGACCGTACGAAGTATGGAAATTGAAGCGTGCACCTTTGTCCATGCGGCGTCAAGTCTTCGTTCATCGATGCTGTCATGTAGCTTGAAACGGAAAGTGTTGAAATAGAGTCCGTTCTCGCTCTCCAGAGATCTCGCAATCATGCCTTGTTGCAAAGGAGTACATGGCGCGACGACATCGATAACGCTGGATTCGATAGAGAGTGATTGTGCGACAGACCGTTTGTAGCGGTGCTGCACTGCGTGAATAGCTTGTTGTGCTGCGAGGATAGATCCATGAGCCTCATCTGTGGGGCCGCCAGCTTCCAAGGCTTTGGCGAGACGTCGAATAGTCGGGCATCGCATTACTACAGATGCAGTAGCACTTGCGAAGCCTGACTGCTTGAGTGTGTGCGATATACCGATGACGGAGATCGAGTCCATGCCCATCTCGAAGCAGCTAGCATCCTTACTGATAGATTGTTCGCTAACACCCAGAGCTTGAGAGAGTACTTGACAAAGTTTCTTCTCATGCTCCGACCAAACTTCGTCTTTCTCGTTTGAAGTGGCTGATATTGCCTGCAGATCGCCAGAGGAAAGTGCGTCGTAAAGCTGCTTGAGCTTTTTGGCATCCGCCTTGTTATTGATGTTCAATGGCATCGTAGAGAGAGGAACGAAGTGCGTGGGAATCATGTATGGAGGTAGTTTCTCATGACAGGCTTCCTTCGCGATCCCCATCGCCTCGACGTCGCTTAGCTGTACCTGAGGTTGTGCCCTGGAGAGTTTGCCACACACAAGGAAGGCAACCAGTTGCTCTTTTTGCTGCTTTGGGTGCTTCAGTACTAGCGTTGCAACATCAGAGATCGCCGAGCTGGACTGCTTGATGACGGAGTTGATCTCGGCTACCTCGAGGCGTTGGCCACGCAATTTGACCTGATCATCTGCTCGCCCAAGGAATTGGAATGTGTCATCGTGTAGGATTCTAACGAGATCACCGGTCCGATACACACGCGCACCTAAACGTTCGAGGTGAGGGAAGCGCTCTGCAGTTAGCTCTGGGCGATTGAGGTAGCCTCTCCCAACAAGTTTTCCTGAAACACAGAGTTCGCCTACGCCGCCTCGTAGGACAGGCACTTCATCCCCGGGATGAAGAACCAAAGACCCCACATTGTCAAACTGAGGGCCGATATTGGAGGGTCTTCCATTGGCTGGAACGCGCGGGAACATGGTGCATCCTATCGTTGCCTCGGTTGGCCCATAACCGTTGTAGATTACGCCTTTTGGACCCCACACGTCGAGAATTTCTTGTTTCAGGCTTTCGCCACCGGTGATGAAGACGCCCTTACAAAGACTGGGTACGTCATCCGGATGGAGAATTTGGGCGAGACTGGGCGTCAGATCGATATGCGTGATATTGAGATCAGAGATGGTCTTTGCTAGATCTTCAAAGATGAGATCCCGAGGTGCTGAAACGACGCATATGCCGACCGACCAACTCCAGTACTGCTCAAGAACTGAAACATCGAAGTGGAATGACGCGAACTGAAGCCATCGCGACTCTGTATCCCAATGCCCGGTAAACAAGCGCTGGAAAGCAAGAAGCGCCTGCACAGCGTTCTCATGAGTCAGCTCGCAGCCTTTTGGTGTACCTGTAGTACCAGAAGTGTACAAGCAGTAGCTACGATCCTGGGAACTGATCCGGTCGTTGCGCAAAAGCGAACATCCTGGTAGTGAACGCCAGTCGATCTCATCAAGCTTCAGTACTGGCACACTAACGCTGCCCTCAAACTGATCAGCTTGAGAAGATAGAGATAAAACAGCTTGAGCGCGCGAGTCTTCAACGATGAAAGCCTGGCGTGCAGCAGGCGCACCAGGGTCGATAGCGACATAAGCGCAGCCAGCCTTCAATATTCCCAGCATGGCGAAAGATGCTTCAGGACATTTGTCGAAACACACACCAACCAGACTCCCAGGCTGCACACCATGCGCAGTGATAAGGTGAGCAATTCTGTTCCCCTCAGCATCTAGCTCAGCATACGTCCATTGCTCAATAGTACGTGAGCCCTGATCGTTCCCGCAAACGAACTCAAACGCGACGCGCCTCGGGTACTTCGTCGCAGTGCTCTCGACCAGCTCGTGGAGTAACCTAACATCTGATGGCAGTTCGGGTTCTTTAGCAGGTGTGATAGAGTATAGTTGTTCGGAGAAGTGCGCCTCAATCGCACTGGTGCTTGACGTATAGCTCTCCATCAGGTGGTCTAGCTGCTCGAGGATCAGAGCGGCCTGCTCCTTTGGTACGATATGAGGCGAGAAAGTAAGGCGGTACTCCAAGTACCCTTCCATTGGTTCCAGTTCGATCGAGATCGGGTACTCAATAGCCGCATTCTCTTCAACAACTCTCCATAAACGGCAGGGTTCTGTACGACTAGGCAGCTTCTGGTAAGCGAAAATTGTGTCGAATAATGCTTCGTTGGGAAAGCCCATAAGTCTCTGGATCTTGTTGAGTGGCGTGAATTGATATTGCTGGATTTGGGTGTTCAACGCCATGATGTTAGTAAGAGTCGCAGCCATGTCTTTTGAAACAGTGCATGCCACGGGTACTGTGTTGATACATGGAAAGACGACATCCTCAGCTCCGTCAAAGGTTCGGCCGGATAAGACGACGCCGCATGTTACCGAGCTTTCTCCAGTGTAAGAACTCAACAATGAAAGCCAACTCGCGATACCTGCAGCTTGCATAGTGATGTTGGCATTTCGACAGCCATCCTCGAGAACATGAAGCGGTTTCGTGGATTGACGAGTGCAAACGGATGGGGAGCTTGGATCATATCTTAAAGGTGTGAGATTGGGAAAGCGACATGGACTTGCAGCCTTCCCAATCTTATTCCATACTGCTTCTCCGTCTTCGGTGCTTGTAGCGCTGAGCTGTATAATGCTACTAATGGTTGTGTCGATAGATGTAGGCGGCGATAAACCGCGGCCCTCATATGCAGCAGTAACATCATTTAAGATGGACTGAAGACTTTGGGCATCGAAGAGAGCATGAAACATGGCCAGATCAAGAGCGAAGTGACCCTCTTCTTGGACGATGCGTAATGACCAAGGAGGCAAATGTAAATCTTGCAAGAATGCACGTTGTAATCCTTTGAGCCATTCATCGATCGGGTCAGATGTAGTGCTTGAGGTGGTAGACCATGGCAGATTTGTCGAAGTTGGAGTATACTCAATCATCGCGAAGGCGTGAAGCGGATCTTCGATCTGAGCGAATCCGCTGCGCAATGTACTATGGCGTTCTCTCGTCATGTCCCACGCTTTCTTGAGCCTTTCGAGGTCTGTATCCACTTCCAGCTGCATACGGATGTGATTCATATACACAGCTCCTTCTGTCGCGAGGAATTGCGATATCATGCCCTTCTGGAGTGGAGTGCAAGGACGAACGGCTACGACATCCCCATCATAGATGCTATGGTCGCTTAGTATCCCCACCTTGTGCTTGCCTTCAAAAGCACTAAAGTTGAAATGCGGAAGTGCAAACGCATCCGATGCCTTCGCCTGGCCAATGAACTCGGCAAGATCGGCGCATGTGGTGTGATTCAGTACATCGGCAGCCCTCACGGAGTAACCCTGCTTCCGAAGTGCTGCAGCGATTTGAACTGCGCTGATGCTGTCAAGACCGAGCTGGTAAATGGAGGTTGTTGGTGTGATCTCTTTTTGCGAAGCATCAGACAGTCGCGCAAAAACGTCCCTCACCTCGGTTTCAACTTGTGTCCATTGATGACCTGAGCCATGCTGAAACCCATTAGTTAGCAACTCGGTGCCGATGTGTTCTCGGAATATGCTTGTCAACGCTCTCTTGTCAATTTTCCCAGCCATTGATCTCGGAATCTCGTCGACGAAGACAAAGAACTGGGGTACCATGTACGACGGTAGCCGGCTGCTTGCAATCGTTTTGAGCTCGCTCTCTTCGATCTTGCCATGCGTAATCAAGAATGCCACGAGTTGGTCCCTGTCTGTCTCCTGCTTTTTCAAGATCTGTGTAGTGACAAACGCGACATCTGGATGAGCATTCTGGAGGACATGGTTGATCTCGCCGAGTTCTATCCTAAGCCCGCGTATCTTGACCTGATCGTCCGTGCGTCCTACGAATTCGAAACTGCCGTCACTGAGCATCCTCGCCAGGTCTCCACTCTTATAAAAGCGTTGCCCACCCCAAATGACAAATCGTTCGCTTGTCAGATCGGGATTGCCGAGGTAGCCTCGTGCGAGTTGTGCGCCTCCAATGTATAGTTCGCCGGTGCTCAGCACAGGCAAGATCGATTTACCTCTTGCCGAGAAGATTGCGAAGGATGTGCTTGGGAAGGGTTTGCCGATAATTGAAACACGACCCTTTTCTGAAACAGGGCTTATTGTCGTACAGAATGCAGCTTCAGTAGGTCCGTAAGAGTTGACGCATGAATCGCCCCACTCCTTGACGATAGCGTGTGCCATGGCTTCTCCGATGCAGTACAACCACTTGACGCTCGGTATATCAGATCTTTTGAGAGAAACCGCTACTGAAGGCGTCAGGTCGAGCAAGGTGACCTGCAAAGAGTTGATGACTTTCGGTAGGTCGTTCAACAAGTCATTCTGGTCAGTGGCACAGAGCGTGAACCCATGGGTCCAAGCCAAGAAACAGTCGTAGTAGCACATATCGAAAGTTACAGCCGCATATTGTAGCAGTCGTGAAGAAGGGTTCCAGGGAATACGGGAATCTGAGCTTGCGATGGTTTGGACAGGAGCGCGATGTTCCATGCTGACCGCTTTCGGTACGCCTGTAGAGCCAGAGGTGAACAAACAATACGCTAAATTTGTGTTCGAGAGGCCGTCAATGACAGGATTATGATGCGGCACAGATGGTATTGCTTCAGCATTGACAATCCTCGCTTCGATTAGATGATCGGGCAGTGTCGAGGCATCCGAGCAAAGCACAAGCTTTGGCATCAACTCTTGGAACATAATCCGTCTGCGTGCTTCGGGCAGTCCTGGATATACTGGTGCAAAAGCAGCCCCAGCTTTCATAACTCCTAGAATGCTTGCATAGAAACAAGGGCCCTTCAGCATATGAATGGGGACGATGTCATCTGGACCAACCCCTTGCCTAATGAGCGCGTGTGCAACAGAGTTGGCTTTTTCATTTAAAGTCGCGAAAGACCAAACTGTCTTGCCACCATCTGGAAGCAAATATTCCAAGGCGATACGGTCAGGGTGCATTGCCGCTATGCGCTCGAAACCTGAATGTAGCAAGACCGCGTCGGTTTGGCATTGCTCATAACCCATGTTGGACTCTGCTCGAAGGTGAGCTGGCAGTGTGCTTATGTCGGAAGAACTCATTCCCGGGAATGCAAGCAACGATGAGATGCAGGTGTCAAATGTTTCCATGACCAGCCGAGCTTCCCTCTCAGACAACAGGGATGTCTGGTAGTGCAGCGATAACTCTAGAGTATTCCGGACCGGATCTTGAATAAGCTCGCATACGATGGGTAGATCCATGTCACCCAGATCTTGTTCGAGTGTCCAGATAGTAGAGTCCAAAGTTGTTTTCGGCTGCTGGAGTATCACCAAACTGTCAAAAAGACGGCCGCCTTCCCGGAGTGCAGTGCCTTGTATGCGACGGAGCGGTGTCAACTGATGAGCTAGCGACTCGATGCTTATAGAATGGGCTAGGCGCATCAAAGCGGCATTATTTTGCTGAGGATCGAGAATGATGCGGACGGGTAGGGTGTTGAAGCAAGGAGCAACGATGCGATCAAGGTCGTCTCCGGAGATATTGCGTCCATTAACGACGTTTCCGAAGCAAATGTCGTTTTCACCCGTATAGAAGTGCAGAAGCTTGGCCCAAGCCGCGTGCACTACCGACAGTAATGACAGCGACATGTCTTGACATGCTGTGCGTATGGTGGAGAGTGGTAGTTGTAGACATTTCGATGAAGATGCAGGGTTTCCTTGGGCTCTTAAATCTTTGCCGGTAAGACTGGGAAAGATTGTAGGCTCAAAGCCGCTCAATAGAGTGGCCCAATAGTTGTCGCCCTCTGCATAGTCTTGCTGTAGCATGTACTGCAGATACACATCGTAAGACACCGGCGGCGGAATTTTAATGCCGTGATACGTGTCTTGTACTTCCTGAATGAGCGTAGAGATAGCAATGCCGTCGTAGAGCGCATGATGGCAGCCAAAAAGTAGCTTTGTTGATCGTTCGTCTTGTATCAACGCGAGGTGAATCGGAGGGCTTTCGGCTGCTACTTGTTCAGAAATAACACTGTTTATACGCGGCGGTAGGCCATCCAGGGTGCTGTAGTGATGCCATTTCAAGTCGGTATCGCGTAGCACAACTTGCGTGAAGGCGAATGACGGGTTTTCAGTAGCAACGAAACATGTGCGAAGGATCTCATGTCGCCGTAACATACTCTCCCAGGACTCCTGCAACCGGGAGACGTCTCCTTTGACGTCGAAAAGCATTATGTTGCAGTACGCCGAATGTGAGGACGGCTGGCCGCTTGAAAGCATAGCCTCTTGAAGTGGTGTGCACGGTAGGATCTTAGCCACCTGTGATTCGCTTTGATTGTAACGCGCAAGAACACGAGACACTTCTTCTGAGCTCAAGAACTTGTCTAGGCTGACGGTATTAGGCCTGGTCGTTTCTCGAGTCGAAGGGCGCGAATGCAGTGGACAGACAGATGCGAGACGAGCGATTGAAGCGTTCTTCAACACTGTAGAGATGGAGAAGTCACCCAAGTCTTGTTTTCGAAGTCCGTTGCAGAAGCGTATAGCTGAAACCGAATCTAGACCCAGGCTGAAGAATGACGACGTCCGCTGTATTCCTTCCGGTGAGGTGTTCAGTGTGGATGAAAGAACCTCGGCCACGGCTTTCTCCCATGGCGAGAAGACCTCCGCCTTTGCATCATCCTGCGTCCATTGCAAGGCGACCTGTTCTTCTTCCGCTAAGTCCCAGAATGTGCGTTGAAGGAGAGCCTTGTCGATCTTGGCTTGCATTGTCATGGGAAGGCGCGAAACGGGAACGAGATGCGAGGGAACCATGTACGAAGGCAGGCGACGCGATAGCAGATCAGACAGATCCGATTTCACCGATTCAAACTCCATAGGCGTCAAACATTGGAAGGAGTCAAATGCAGCTCCGTTGGGTACCCAGAACACTACCAGTGTTTGAGTATCGTCGGAACGCGGTAGGAGAAGGGTGACGCAGTCTTGCACTGCCTGATGATCGAGCATCACTGACGTTATCTCACCGAGTTCGACACGCTGACCACGGATTTTGACTTGATCATCCATACGGCCTTTGGAAAGTATGGAACCATCCGGGAGTAGTATACCTGTATCGCCTGACCGGTATATCCTGCCATAGGTGGAGTGGTTGATGATCTTGGCGGCATTCAGCTCTGGTCGGTTCAGATAGCCACGGAAAACCTGGTAACCTCCGAAACAAAGCTCACCTACGGCACCGAGGGGGAGAATTGCCTCGCTCTCGGGATCGAGCACGAGGGCTGAAGTGTTATCGAAAGGCATACCGATGTTGTTGATGAGATCATCCGGAGTTACCGCCGCCCGTACAGTGCATATGTTTGTGGTCTCAGAAGGACCGTAGCCTTGGTACAAGCCTTTGCCTGCCCACCTTCTTCGAACATGTTCCGTCAAAGCTTCTCCAGCAGTCACCAGGAATTCGACTTTCGGAACATTCACTGGATCTACCAATGCTGCAACTGTTGGCGTCAAACTTAGATGTGTGACGCCCAGACAGTTGATGGCGGCCTCAAAGTCGTGAAACAAGTCGTCTTTCGTTGCCGTGCATAGGCATATACCAACATGCCATGAGAAGAAAATCTCGAAAACACTGACATCAAATGCTTGCGAGCAAGACTGAAGCAAACATGAGCCTGCATGAACGGGGTATATAGTTGAAAGGTACTGCAAGTTACTCATGAGATTATCCTGGGTAACGAGAACTCCCTTGGGCGCTCCAGTGCTGCCGGAAGTGAATACAGCATAGGCGAGATGCTGTCCGCTATATGGCACCTCCAGGTTCTGATCAAATTGTTTCGCAAGATGAGGGGTGTTGAACTCAATTATATCGACGAGAAGATGATTTCGAATGCCTGTTGCAGTTGTTGTGTCGGAAACGCATACCGTTACTTGCGCGTCGTCCAGGATGCTTCTGACTCTGTCGATCGGCGTATCAGGGACTATCGGTAGATATCCGCAACCAAGCTTGAGCACAGCAAGGATACAGATGTAAAGATCAATGGACTTTTCCATCATTATGCAAACCAATTGATCGTCGCCTACGCCGTGATCGGCGAGGACACGGGCAAATTGGTTAGCGCGTGTGTTGAGCAGACCATAGGTCGCCACCTCTTCTACTTCCACGACACCACGTCTGACGCGAGCAAATTTGAGAGCTGACCTTCGCGGATCCTTCAGGGCCCATTGTTCTACCGCATGAGCAGGACCATGCTCTATCGTTTGCTGTCGAGGCGTGGGGTTGGCAATTGACAAGGAAGGCGTGGTGAAGCATCGTTTCATGGCATCGATGCCATGGTTGGCATTCGATAAGAGCAGATTCACTATCTCGTCGATCTGACGAGAGAGATACTTCATCTGATGCTCCGGTATAGTTGAGGCGTCGTAGGTAGCGTGGAAAAATATGTTGTCTTCGCGCGGCTCGAATTCCAGCGTAAGCCTAAATTCCAGATCGTCCGCGCTATCGATGACTCTTGAAGCGAGCGACGAGCTTGAGTCGGAGATGATTGACTGTTGCCATACAAACAGAACGTCGAAGAGTCGTGTCCCAGGTGGGATATTTCCCGCCTTCACTATGTCCCGGAAAGGAAGGGTGCTGTGGCTCAGACATTCTCTATTCAATGCTTGGGTCGTACGCAATAGATCATGAATGTCGAGCGTTTTACTGAGATTTATGCGGAAAGGGACGGTTGCGATGCATGGGCCGATAACATCCTCAACACCAGCGATGGGAATGGTCCGCCCTGAGGTAACGTTTCCAAGAACTATATCGTTTGTGCCGCTATAAAGGCTGAGTATGTACGAAGTAGCCGCTTGGAAGTAAACCTGGGGGTTGACAGCCATCTCCTGAGCTCGCTGGAATAGTCTGGATCTGTTGATAGCAGAACGGCCCGAAAAGTGATGTGTCGCCGGGTCGCGAACGAGCTTTCCATGGTAATTAGGGAGGGCCACCGGAAGGTAGCCATTGAGGAGACTACTCCAGTAGCTCTTGGGTACTTCTTGATCCTCCGGCCTAAGTTCAGTGAAGTACTGGACTACATCACGAAATTGTGGCCGCGATACTGTCTCCTCTCCACGCAACCGTGTGTCGAGATCGTGGAGCAATAGATCGAATGACCAGCCATCGTACAGTGCATGATGTATGCGGAACAAGAGACGAGGTCGTCTAGATATCGACATAACTTGTACGTGTAAGGGACGAAGAAAGTCTTCATCGGAGCTCATTGAGTAAGACCTCGAAAAGACATCAACTTCCTGAATCTGTGATGGCAGTAATGCTCTCCAAATAATCTGCGAGAACGTTCCTGCGTGCTGTGATACCGCAACGAAGCCGGTACGCAGGATCTCGCTCTTACTGGCCAAGTAGTCGAGGGCGTTTCGGATATCTTCATACGTCCGCGCAACTGATAGCTCAACTTCGATCCAGTTGCAGTAGGCAGTAGGCCTGGATATCGTCTCCGCAAGCATGGCTTCCTGCAATGGAGTACAGGGTATCACGGATGCAATATCATTCTTCCATCGCTTGAGCTGAGGGATCTCTACGATGCCGGTCATCTTCGCAGAGTGATACGTCGGATTATGCCGATTAGCGCTTTGTGTAGAACCTCTACATATCGCAACGAGATCGCTCAACGTTCTCGCAGATAGTACTTCCATGGCTCCTAGGACGAATCCTTGTCGACGTAGCGCAGACGCTATGCGAATAGCTCGAAGGGAATCCAGGCCAGCAGAGCTAAGGTTGGTATCTGATCCAAGGTCTTGAGAGATGTGACGACCAACGGTTTCCAGGACTGATTGGCTCACATGATCGCCTGGGGATATGGTGGTAGACGTGGACAGTCCAGTAGAGTTAGTCTTGTGAAGATGTGTTTTTGCAAGAGAGTCTTTGTCAATCTTTCCCGACGGTAACTGCGGCATTGTATCGATGAAGTATACGTGTGATGGAATCATAAATGCCGGAAGCCATTGGTTACAGGTAGCGAGGACATCTGCGCGGGTGACTTCGCTCGAGTCGGCAGCGCAAAAGGCAACCAAAGACTCTTCGACAATGATTACGGTTGCTGTCCGACAGCTCTGTATCCTCATAATAGCTTGTTCAATTTCGCCGAGCTCAACCCGTTGCCCTCGAAGCTTTACTTGACCAGCAATGACACGACCCAAGCATTCCAAGACGCCGTGGCGGTTGATTCTTGCGCGATCGCCGGTACGATATAAGCGACCATGTTCCGGATGTTCGATGAACGATGCAGAAGTGAGATCTGGGCGATTTAAATATTCTTCGGCAACCTGAGGTCCTCCAATGGCTAGTTCACCAACTTCTCCGGAACTCAGTATCTCGATGTCGGCCGATGGTCGTTCTTCATTCATGGGCGCGATTATGAAAGCCGAAACAGTATCCAAGGGACGACCTATGATGCTAGTTGACGAATGTGTCGAGAACTGTGGCTGCAGCGTGCAGTGGATCGAGGCTTCAGTCGGCCCGTACATGGCCCATAGCATACTTTCCTTCGTTTCGTCGCCACCATACTCATCAATGACGTGTTGGGTGAGCATCTCACCGATGGTAAGTAACAGTTTGAGTCCGGGCACGCTGGACCTGCCTTGAAGAAGGTTGCTCACGACTGTTGGCGTAAGTTCAGCTGCATCGACCTCTAGATTGTTGATGGCTCCTGGAAGGTCATCGAGCATGTGGGCACGTGTGCTGCTCACCAAGGTTCGCCCTCGGAACCAGGGAAAGAATATCTCAAAAATGGAAACATCAAACGTCTTACACTACATTAGTAGAGAAAGAGCGCTTATTCTGCATGTGCACTTACAGGGGCTGCGAATTGAAGAAAACGGGCGAAGTCGGGAATGTGGCGGTGGTGAGCCAATAGACTCTGGGTAACTGCATGATGAGTTACGCTGACAGCTTTTGGCTTCCCGGTAGAGCCGGAGGTGTATAGTACATAGGCCAGATCCTTGGTGTTTGGTCGCCGCAAATCGATTATAGGCTGGTCCTCGCGGTCGCAGAGTTCTTTGTCAACCGAGATTACATCGATATTGATCGCTGCTCGTATCCGCTCATCTAGAGTCGAAGATGTGATGAGCAGGTCGGCGGAAATATCATCGAGGATAAACTTCAGCCGCTGTGTAGGTGTATCGAGATTAAGAGGACAGAATGCCTTTCCCGCCTTCAAGATGGCCAAAAGAACGATATACAGTTCTGGGGACTGTGGTAGGAAGACCGGAATGACAGGCGAGGCACTTTCGAGCTTTGCCAGTCTTTCTGTGATACTGCCAGCCAGGGCATCGCTCAGACTATGCAAGTCCTTGTAGGAGAACTTCCGCCTTTTCGATCCATATTCCAGGAAATCGATAGCAGTTGCATCGTGATCAAGTGGACGTACAAGCTCGTGGAGAAGGTCTGGCCCGCTCAAGATCGAGGGCCGCTGATTAAGTACCGACAGTCGTTGGTTCCCGCCGCTTTCTTGAATCATCTTGCGTTAAATTGTTAGATATGTCGACCGATGGCAACGGTTACTGGTAGAACATTCGAGTCTATGTCGTCCCTAGCGATACGTCCATAAATTTCCCGAAGAAAGAATTGCAAAAAATGCACTCGATATTGCTGGACGGGAATCTGCAGAATGCGATGCTTGATCGCAGGTTTCGATGATGAGAAACTGAGGCACGATGATTGGTCGAAGGTCTTCAAGTACCTTGAGACCAGTACACACAGGGGTGGCGCACGTGAGAACGGGTTCCAGCACTCTGTACTTGGGTAGCGCGTTCGACACTTGACGACGGAGTGTGCAGTGCTCCGGTGTAAGCAAGCAGGCAGCAAGCAACCTTCAAGAAGCGACCTCCAAGAACGTATCGCGGTCGCCGAATTCCAAATGGTCGAATAGTGCTAGAATCAAAAGTCGAGAAAATCCAAGCTGGGGCGTGCACTGATCCGATGATTTCTGGTGTCGCGACTCCGTGATGTTGAGCGCGTTGTCCGTAGATGCAGCGTCATACATCCTGGTTGAGTGACAAGTGGACGTGTCATTCGACAAGCGGCGCGTAAGATCTGATACAGTAAATCAGACGCGTTTGGCGGCGGCTTTGCAAGTGGGCGAAAACGGGAGCAAAAACTGTTCGAGACAAGACTAAATCGAGACTGAAAACCGAAGCTCCACCTCAATCATGCTAGTCCAGAGTAGTAGCGTGAAGTGGTGGACGTAAAGGCGTGGGCGCGTCTCCGATGACGACAAGGGCCGTCGCGGTGGCTGGTTGGGCGTCGTTGTTCCATAGCCTCTTTGCTATCGCCCCACGCTATGGAGCAGAATCAGTTTGTCAAGCGCAAACGCGTCGTGCGCAAGATTCTGTCGCAACGTGGTGGTGGACGCGACCTCGGAGCTGTGCCGCTGCTTGGTGGGGAAGACGCGGCCGGGCATGCCGCCGAAAATCCCGTGCTTGCGTGACATGCCAGGCGGGTCATCCCTTGAGCAGAAATTATCAGATGCAGCAGCAGGCAGTCTACCCCTGACCTGATTTCACGTCGCCGCTAGCCCAGCCCTACAACTGCTGCTAGGGATGCACGCTGCACGCATCCGTCAGGCTGTCACCCGACTGCCCACTGTGAACTCACCTGCCGCAGCCCGATGACAGTGTATATATGGTAGGCCTTTCACATGCGGCCGCTCCAGATGCTCAGACAGTCGCTGGTTGTCGCTGCCCTCCTGGTGCATGAACATGTTGCAGGGCGGCCATCTATGACCATGCCAAGACTCTAATTTAGTGCTGCGCTCCTACCACGTCTTCCGTGTTGGCCATGGATGTGACATCAACAACGCTGGATTATCAACATCGCCTCCATGGCATCCTCGCTCATTCTAGTCCACAGTCGCAAGTTTATCGCTGCATCTCTCGCTCGCTAATGCTCATCTGAGCAGCAGCCGAGCACTGCACACCCGCAATCGCATTGCGCAACGCCAGGCGCGCGCCACAATGCCCGACTATCACGACGATGACAGCTCCGAGAGCCAACCCCTTCTGGATTCCGAAGAAAGTGAAATTGAGGATGAGCCCTCTGTCCGCCACAGTACGCAATGGGAAAGGCATGTAGAACCGTCGTTAGCGACGGTTCAGCCTCAGGCTTTTGAAGGTCCCACCGTCTTTCGTCAACGATTCATCCGCCAAATCCTTGGCTTGAACAAAACCTCCTATTTTGCACTCTACAGGCAGCTGGATGATGTTGGCTCCAAGCTGATTCTGGTTTTGGGCATCGTAACTGCGATTCTGGCCGGGCTGCCGCTTCCTCTGATAGGTGTCGTGCTTGGGCGCATTATCAACAACTTCCCACCCAACCCAGACGAGCTGAAGCATCTCTTGTTCCGTCTGATGTCAGTCGCAGTCGGGTATTTTGTCATTACCTGGGCTTGGGCGGTTTGCTGGGCTGTCATAGGAGAACGCGTGAGTAGGAAAACAAGAGAAAGACTTTTGCATCGTGCTTTAGGCATGGACATGACCTACTATGGTGCGTAGATGCCCGAGAAATGCCTCGCATAGACTATGTATTGACTCGATTTGCCTTTCGTAGACACCGTCTCGCCTGATCTTTCTAGTATTCTCACAGAGAAGACACAGACCATTCAACTCGGTACCTCGGAGAAGGTGGGCCTCTTCATCGCATCCATAAGCTACTTCATCTCCGCATTCACTGTGGGTTTTATGCTAAACGCAAAACTGACCGGAGTAATGTAACTATCATCATCGCTGTCATGTCAAGAGAGAATCGTTAACATAGCTACATAGGTTCGTCACGGTTATACCTTCAATGGCATTCGTTGTCTATTTCGGTACTAAACAAGTTTCCGATCTCGCCAAGCAGGCTGCACAATACACCGAGAAAGCTGCCTCGGTCGCTGAGAGTGCTATCCGCGCAGTACAGATCGTGCAGGCGTTTGGCCTGTTCGAGCAGCTTAGCGAGGAACACGTTCATCACCTTCGATCTGCCTTGCGGGTTGGAATCCGGAAGAGCGTTGCAGGAGCTGTCATGCTTGGCTCGGTTTACTTCGTTGCATATGCGACCAACGCACTTGCTTTCTGGTACGGTGATCGCTTAAGAGACGGCAGCGCTGAGGCTGGTACCATCTATGCAGTCGTCTTCCTCATACTAGACGCTTCTTTCGTCGTCGGGTCATTCGGTCCATTCATTCAGACATTTGCAATGGCCGCCGCCGCTGGGGCTGCGGTAATGGATGTTCTCGATCATCCCACATCCGATATCGATGTCTATTCCCCAAAGGGAAAGCCGGCGGACAGGACACATTTCGAACAGGATCTGGTGCTTTCATCGGTGTCATTTGTATACCCAGCTCGTCCTACTGTGCGAATCCTCGACAGTATCAATTTACGCATCAAGCCTGGGCAAGTCACGGGTCTAGTTGGACCGTCCGGTTCGGGAAAGGTAATCATCAACTTTCGACTAGCACAAACCATTGGCTAACCTCACTTCTTCCTAGTCTACTATTGCATCCCTGCTTTTGAGGCTCTACGATCCAACTTATGGCGCCGTAAACCTCGGCAACGACAACTTGAAGTCATTCAACGTCCACAGCCTGCGGACACACATCGCACTCGTCACTCAAAATCCGGTTCTCTTCACTGGAACAATACTGGATAATATCAAGCATGGTATCCGAAGTGCCGAAAGAGAACGATTGACTGAAGACGAGATTCTTGCTCGGTGTGAGGCGGCGGCGACAGAGGCATATTGTGATTTCCTAGACCGACTTCCTGAGGGCATACACACGAAAATCAGTTCCGGACCCCAGTCTCAACTTTCCGGAGGCCAAAAGCAACGTATAACCCTCGCGCGTGCGCTTGTGGGTAACCCGTCCCTGCTTTTACTGGACGAATTCACAAGTGCCATGGACGGTACAAGTGAAGCGATCGTTTTGGAAAATCTACGTCGTTCTTCAGCCAACGCCAACCGAACCACCATCATAATTGCACATCGTCTGGCAACTGTTCGAGATGCTGATCGTATCGTGGTCATGAAAGACGGAAGTGTAGAAGAAGACGGGCGCCATCAAGATCTTCTCAAAAAGAACGGCATCTACGCAGAGCTCATCAAAGCACAACAATTCGAAAAACCGCGGCCTTCAGCAACTTCATCGATTCGATCTGCTGCCAGCTCTACGCACAAAGAGCATGGAGAGTCTTCAGGCGAATCAAACAATGCCTCCCGGCCGGTTTCAGCATCACAAACCGACGCGCCAAAGATGAGTGCTTTGACATTAATTCGCAGATCGTTGGCATTGAGCCGCCGTGAAACGCCAGCTGTAATTGTCGGGTTGATCTCCTCCGTCTTCAGTGGTGGAGTCATCATCGGAGAGGCGCTCATATTTGGCAACTTGGTTGAGCTCTTGAATGACACGTCCGGCTCGGACGATCTCACGAGGAGAATATCTTTCTACTGTTTGCTTTTCTTCGGACTGGCAATCATCGCTCTAACTTCACACTCTTTCGGCAAAACTGCTTTCGGCATGGTCTCCGAAAACCTTACCTTACGAGTCCGAGATCTATCTTTCCGGACTATCCTGCAACAAGACATTGCCTGGTTCTCTAAGCCTGGTCATTCTCATCACGCTTTAATGTCGCGTCTGAACTCTGATAGCGGCAGTATTAGTGGTCTATCTGGTGTCATACTCGGAACCGTCTTCTCCATTGCGACGTCTGTTCTTGGCGGAATTGTTCTGGCCCATATTGTGGCATGGAAAATCGCCATTGTTCTACTGGCGGCTGTACCTGTCATGCTTCTAGCTGGATTCCTGCGCCTTCGTATCTTGGCTATGGCCGAAGAGCATCATCAGACGGCTTACAATGACGCTGCAGCCCTCGCTTCCGAAGCCACTTCTTCTATGCAGATCGTTGCAGTTTTTGGCTTGGAATCGCACTTCCTGGATGGTTACCGAGAAGCAATCAGAAAGCCATACGAGGAGCACCTCAGGTTCAGCGTGCTTGGCAACATCTTACTCGCCTTTTCACTCTCGGTCACATATTTCGTCTATTCTTTGGCGTACTGGTGGTAAGCATATATGTTGATGCCGCTTCCATCAGCCACATGCTAATTGATGCGACAGGGGGTCTAAACAAGTGCGCAACGGTAACTATAGTCAACGAGAGTTCTTCATTGTACTCCCTGCGCTTCTTTTTTCTGCACAATCCGCAGGTCAGCTCTTCAGCTTGGCACCCGAAATAACTCGGGCCAAGGCCGCAGCGCAGAATGTATTCTCTCTACATGACGAGAAGCCGTCGATCATCACAGATTTGAGGCCTTTGGAATCCGCTACCACCACTGCATCCAATGGTAGCGCTTTGTTGTCTGGCCCTTCAGCATCGTATGGAACATTTGGAGTGCGTGGAGAACTGGAGTTCCGTAACGTCAGTCTCTACTATGAGAGTCGGCCTAATGTTCCCGCCTTGAACAACGTCTCATTTCAGATTC